GAGGTACTGTGTTTCCTGCCATTGTTTGGTGACAGAGGAGGTAGTGTGTTTCCTGCCATTGCTTGGTGACAGAGGAGGTAGTGTGTTTCCTGCCATTGCTTTATCTTTGACGCTGAATAAACACTGTTTCAGAATTTTGTACTTAACGTCCCGTAATGATTGGTTTAAATTTCTTTGAAGTTTTCTAAACATTATTCTAGGTTCTGTCTTTGACGAGCTGGAAACAATGCCTTGCGCGCCTTTAAAGTTTTGTTTGAAAAAATACGTCGAGTTGTAAACAGTGATTTACGTTTATTAAACGTTTTGGTAAACAGCGTTTTACGTTTTTCTTTGAAGAGTTACAAACTGTTTTACGCTCGTTTGACGTCTTGTAAACAGCGATTTATGTCTCTATGATGTTTTATACACAATTTTTATACGTGTCTTTGACGAGTTGTCAACGATGTTTCGGGTGTTGGTAGACTCGCGTCTACCAACACCTGAATCTTAACGCCAAACAATCATCATTTGATTTGTTAGGATTCTTAAATTTCGCTACCCATGTGGCAAGTTGTGGACCCCATATCCATCCTGTGGAGGGTAGCTCAAGAACATGTGGATACACACAAGGCCTAGGAACTAGGCACCGAAAAAGGTTAACATGAGTACATCTGGATTTATATCTACAATTCACTTCAATTATTAATGTAGTGTTTGTATTTCTGATACCTCTAGGACGCTGGTATTGTGGAGTCAGTGGAGCTGCTGGTGTTGTCGGTGTTGCTGGGACTGATGTAGCTGGTACTGTTGAAGTAGCTCGGATTGTTGTAGCTGGTATTGTTGTAGCTGGGATTGGTGTAGCTGGTATTGCTGTAGCTGGGACTGTTGGTGTAGCTGGTATTATTGGTGTAGCCGGTGCTGTTGGCGCAGTTCGTATTGTTAGAGTAGCTGGTATTGTCCTCATTGCTTGCATTGTGGGTGTCACTGGTATTGTGTGTGTCACTGGCATTGAGGGTGCCACTGGTATTGTGGGTGTCACTGGCACTGTGGGTGTCACTGGTATTGTGGGTGTCACTGGTACTGTGGGTATCACTGGTATTGTGGGTGTCAATGGCATTGTGTCACTGGCATTGTGGGTGCCACTGGTATTGTGGGTGTCACTGGCACTCTGGGTGTCACTGGTATTGTGGGTGTCAATGGCATTGTGGGTGTCACTGGTATTGTATGTGTCACTGGCATTGTGGGTGCCACTGGTATTGTGGGTGTCACTGGCACTGTGGGTGTCACTGGTATCGTGGGTGTCACTGGTATTGTGGGTGTCACTGGTACTGTGGGTGTCACTGGTATTGTGGGTGTCACTGGCATTGTAGGTGTCACTAGTACTGTGGGCGTCACTGGTACTGTGCGTGTCACTGGCATTGTAGGTGTCATTAGTATTGTGGGTGTCACTGATATTGTGGGTGTCACTTCTTATAGTGGATGTCACTGGTATTGTGGGTGTCACTAGTATTGTGGGTGTCACTGGCATTGTGGGTGTCACTGGTACTGTGGGTCACTGGTATTGTGGGTGTCGCTGGTATTGTGGGTGTCACTGGCATTGTAGGTGTCACTAGTATTGTGGGCATCACTGGTACTGTGGGTGTCACTGGTATTGTAAGTGTCACTGGTATTGTGGGTGTCACTGATATTGTGGGTGTCACTTCTTACAGTGGATGTCACTGGTATTGTGGGTGTCACTAGTATTGTGGGTGTCACTGGCATTGTGAGTGTCACTTCTTATTGTGGGTGTCACTAGTATTGTGGGTGTCACTGATATTGTGGGTGTCACTGGCACTGTGGGTGTCACTAGTATTGTGGGTGTCACCGATATTGTGGGTGTCACTTATTTTGGGTGTCACTGGCATTGTGGGTGTCACTAGTATTGTGGGTGTCACTGGCATTGTGAGTGTCACTTCTTATTGTGGGTGTCACTAGTATTGTGGGTGTCACTGATATTGTGGGTGTCACTTATTGTGGGTGTCACTGGCACTGTGGGTGTCACTAGTATTGTGGGTGTCACCGATATTGTGGGTGTCACTTATTTTGGGTGTCACTGGCATTGTGGGTGTCACTAGTATTGTGGGTGTCACTGGCATTGTGAGTGTCACTTCTTATTGTGGGTGTCACTAGTATTGTGGGTGTCACTGATATTGTGGGTGTCACTTATTGTGGGTGTCACTGGCACTGTGGGTGTCACTAGTATTGTGGGTGTCACCGATATTGTGGGTGTCACTTATTTTGGGTGTCACTGGCATTGTGGGTGTCACTAGTATTGTGGGTGTCACTGGCATTGTGAGTGTCACTTCTTATTGTGGGTGTCACTAGTATTGTGGGTGTCACCGATATTGTGGGTGTCACTTATTTTGGGTGTCACTGGCATTGTGGGTGTCACCGATATTGTGGGTGTCACTTATTGTGGGTGTCACTAGTATTGTGGGTATGCACTGCATCAGTAAACACTGCTTTACATTCATGCTCACTTCAGCTATAGTTAACAGCATCATTGAGACTAGAGAGCGGCTGCAGGCAGGTGTAGCCGCAAGTTGGTAATTGCTGTTGCTTGCGGCACCTTCTCTAAAACTGACCTGTTGACTGCGTTTTTCCACATGCCTCTGGAAAACCGGTTAATGAGTGGAAGCGAAGCCTGGAGGCCATGTTAGTATGTGTACTCTCCTATTTGTACTCTCATATTTGTAGTTGTTAGGGATAGGGACTTTGCTCCTGACCCTGCTTTTCAAGCTGGCGGCTGATGGGTTTGTTCTCAACTAGTTTCCTGAGTTCTGTCTTGCCAGTTCATGAAGCTGTGGATGGATCTTGCCTCAACCACTTCGCTGATCCAGTACCTTTCACTTCCTAACCACCTCGGGGCTGAAGAAATTTTCTCTAACATCCCTGTGACTCATCTGTGATTTTTAGTGTCCTGCTGTGCCCTCGTACACCTGCTTCTCGCCGCTCGAACAGACTGTCCCTGCTCACCCTAGTCAATTACTCCTTGTATTTTGCAGGACGTTAGAAACGTTTAGAAACCACGTTTATCTCAAACTTAATGTCACGTTTAATAAGTATTGCCTCTGTTTACCTATGACTGATTTACTTGCAGTCCCCAGACACTGTATTGTTCCTGTGGGTTAAGCGCTTCTCCATGACTTTACAAATAATTAAAATAACAGAAATAATAATAATAATAATAAAATAATAATAATTAATAATAATAATAAATTAATAAAATAAAATAATAATAAAATAATTATAATAATTAAAAAATAACAAAAATATTTTTCTTCATAATAACATCATCATAATTCTATATGTTCCTCTCTTCCTCCCTCCCTCTTATCTCTCTCCCTCCCTCTCCCTCACTCCTGTGTGATGGAACATGAGAAGGGATACATAGCTAGCTTTTGTTCTCACAATGCAACCATCACACAAACTCAATCCTGACCTTCACAGTTACGTACACAATCGCTCACGCTGTAGAGGTGATTGTTGCTCGCACTGCACATGTCAACGATTGTACCGAGCACAGTGAATATTGCAGTTCAGACATATTACACTCATTTTTATGAGAGCGGTAAACACTTATGTGATGTACGGCGACTGGCGAATGGGAGGCACCCAGAGGATTGATTCCAAGAGAGTGGATCCGATTTCTTGGATCAATAGCCCTTCACTAACATCAAGGCACTGTCCTTATTCCTTGGCAGAACAATAATAATAATAATAATAATAATAATAATAATAATAATAATAATAATAATAATAATAATAATAATTATAATAATAATAATAATGAGAAGAAGAAGAATTAATACTGACTTCAGGCCTATGTAATCACTCTATCCCAATACTACAAAGATATTTATCCCAGCTCTCTGATACACCTTTCAGTTACAGATAAACACTGGGAGCAGTGATGATGATGATGATGATGATGATGATGATGATGATGATGATGATGATGATGATGATAATAATAATAATAATAATAATAATAATAATAATAATAATAATAATAATAATAATAATAATAATAATTGCACAAAAAGGTAATATTTAAATTATGAAAAATATAAGATTTAACATAGCATTTTTTTACTGAAACTGTTGATATCATTAATGAGAAGGATGTATCTGATGTACGTCAACAAGGACACTGATATTTGGTTGGTGGTTGGTGAGTTTTAGTGGTAATTCACGTGGCTCCTCAAGGTTCACTTTGTTCCTCTGCTTAGTTAGAACTGCATCTGCATGGCTAAATCCATACACTAACCCTCTCTTGACCCTCAACCATTTATCGACTTCTTCGATAGTCCCATCAACCCTTAAGGGTCGATACTGACCACTCTTGGGAACCCTGGTCTAACTTTACGTGCGTAAACATTAGTCTTACTTAAAATGCGTCGACATTAATCTAATTAACCTGAGTAAATATTAGTCTAACTTAAGGTGAGTTAACGTAACTCTCCTTAACGACATGTTTATTTCTGCGACGCATGTCATTTCTTTACATTACCGAACATGATGTAATGAGCAAACACCATCAAGATATCCGCCCTAACATCAGTTCGTGTATCACAGGACATCACGGCGCGAGAATATAACAAGATATTAAGCAACTTAACATCAGTTAATGCATCATGCGACATCAACACAAGAAGACACAACAAGAGAATATAACCTGATATTAACCAGCTTATTGTCGGCCAATACATCTTACACCATGACATGAGAGACAATACCAATGATGGCTCATATCATGACTCACCTCTCCAGATGCGTCTTCGTCTATCTACATCTGGACTCGTATTTGTGTACATTTGCATATATCTTATGTGAGTGTGGAGGAGGATTGGAAAGGTAAACAAAAATCATTAAAATCGTGGTTTGCGTGAGGAAATTTGTGACGCTTCTCACAGCCAGGAAAGACAGAATTATTTGCAGGTAATAATCCTAGACATTATAATGTTTGAGTCGTGGGAGAAAGTAGCTTACTTGACAATTAAGTTAATGAGATCTTGCAGTAGTTCCTTGAAGGTGTGCTCACGCTACCCTTGCTCACTTCTGGGCATCTCTGGCTCGTCTCTGACCACCTGTACTGGCTCGTGGTTGCTTCTCTGCATTCACTTGCCCGTACTCGCTAACTCGTGTTTTGCAGCCCGTGTTCGCTTCCTCGTGCTCAATGACCCGTGTTCGCTGGCCCATGTTCGCCTGGCTTGGCTTGTTGTGACTGAGGTTGGAAGAGGGCAACACGGGGGCCTGGGAACACAAAAGATGAAAGTGGTCAGCCAGGTGACGGAGCCTTAACACAGCGGAACACGAGAACCTCACAGATAATTCTCATCTTCAGGGGCATGCACGTGATAGGTCAAGATGATCACCAGCGAACAGATCTCACCAGGTGGAACTGCTATTATATTTCAATTATTCAAAAAAATATGTTATGGCTTCATCGATATAAAGCCCTTTGCTTTACTATTCTTGACTGATAACACATGATAGATAACACACGATAGTGCTTAATTTAGATAGTAGATAGTTCTCAGCTGAAAGCTTCGGAGTAGACTTACAAGGCCTCTGTTATCTGTCTTTCGTATACACTCCCATGAAATTCCATGTGGAGGCAATTTCTGACATACAGAAGACTAACACATCTGGTTAAAAAATACTGAGGATCGAACGGATGACTTCGGCGAGGAGAGAGCCACTCGTGCCACTCCACCAATACTCTTCTACGACGTCAGTTTTTTAAAGACATGCTCAGCATCAATTTAAGTTAAAAAAAATCAATAAAAAGCGTATATTTAAAAGGAATAAGAAGAAAAAGAGGTTCGGAATACGTATGGCAGCATGTTGGTGGAAATAAGCGAGTAATGTTCTTGCACTGATCACTGATCATGCAAGAAGAGGTAACGATATGGAGTTCTATAAGGAAAATAAAAACCAGTTACTTGAAATATCATTTATTCACGACTAGTTTCGGAGTTAATTTACTCCATCATCAGGCACTGTAAAAATTAAAAGAAACCCATCTAAGAATCGGATCGATACATGCAAAACATCAAAATAACATAAATAAAAGAAAAGAATAACGAATAGAAATACAATAAAAATATAAACTAGAAGCAAAGTAACTCCACTGAGCGTTCGTTATCACACAGGGAAGGCTTCTCTCTAAGGGTATATTATTATTATTATTATTATAAGCATAACCAAGCGCTAATCTAAGGATGTAAGGAGAGACTACTGTTGCCAGTTCAACAGCAACTTTCTACTGTTGTTGTCCAGTCAATCCAATACCACCGAGGTACCTTAAATAGGTGGCTTGAATTTTTTCCCCTTTTTTTCCTTTTACCTTTCAATTTTATATTGTTCATAACTCAAGAACACCTCTTCCAATCGGCTTCAAATTTTCAAATTCTTGGCACAATTGGCATGTTCGTGTCCTAAACATTTTTCAGTAACTAACGAATGCTTCTCATTGGCTTCAAAATATTATTGACAATGTACTCTATAATAAACATGGTAGGTGGGTGTGTTGAGTGATTGCTTGGAGTGATGGGTGAATGTGGGTGAAGGCTGAGAATGGCCTATGGGTGGTTGATGTGTATGGATGACGTGGTGGATGGTAGATGCTTGAAATAAAAAAAATGGATTCACTCCAACAAAACTCTTGGGGCTTCATCTTGATATTCAGTTGTTGAAATGTTGTGTTGCAAGAGACTAAGGAAGAGTAACAAAAAGTTTAATATTTTAATTAAAGAATAATAAAAATGATAGAAATTTGTGTAAGATTTATACTGGCTGGAGTGGCGTTGTGGGGGACCTCCTGGCTCCTCAACCTTCATATGAAGTCTGAGGTGCAGGTCCTCAGGGAGGAGTTCCTGCAGTACTCCAGGCCCAACTTCTTGGTAAGGATGAAACTGTATATAACCTTCGTGGGACACAAGGTAGAGACCTAGGGCGTACTACTCCCTGAGGAGGCACTGCCCAAGGCAGACCTCCCCAGTCTGATGAGCTGGCCTCTCCTGAGTAGAGTCGACTGCGTCACCACCCTGCAGAACCTCACCCAGCTAAGGCAACACCTAGGCAAGGCGTCTCCTACACCATACTTGATAACAGTACAAGGTGTTCTGCTGGGGTACGTCATCTTTGTCCTCTACATCCTCACCGTATTGAAGGCGCGATATAATAATATTCCATGGAGAAGAGAGTCGTCAACTGACGACTCAGTCATTCTCAGTTCATCCTTCGCTCAATACTTCCAAGCCGGGGTGGTGTTCTTAATATATAAAGTCTCAAGTCTCCTCGGCATGGCAAGTTATGATTCATCAGAAAGTGGCAGTAGCTTCACCTCTTTTATGGGTATTAGAGCTAGTACCTCTTGGGTTCAAGAACCTACAGCCACGCTGGTTAAACCCACTTATTACAGTACGTTAGGGGTTCGAGAATCCCCCAAAACGTGGGATAAACCCAGGTACATCATTGCCTCAGGTGTTCGAACACCAATAACCTCGTTGATCAACCCCACTGCAATTAAAAGAGTCTCTACTGTCGTCACCACAGCTAGCGGTGACGTATGTACAGAGCCCCGTCTGGTACTCTCCCGTAAGGAAACTATGGAAATGTCTGGTGATACTGAGAAGGCAACCGAACACAATTCCTCTGCCCTGGCCGCCACCACTGCCGACCTCTCTACCGAAGCTATCACCGTCGACCTCAGAACTGAGGCCACCACCGTCGACCCTACCACTGAGGCCACCACCGTCGATCCTACCACTGAGGCCACCACCGTCGATCCTACCACTGGTGCCACCACCGTCGATCCTACCACTGGTGCCACCACCGTCGATCCTACCACTGGTGCCACCACAGTCGACCTCAGAACTGAGGCCACCACCGTCGACCCTACCGCTGAGGCCACCACCGTCGATCCTACCGCTGAGGCCACCACCGTCGATCCTACCACTGGTGCCACCACAGTCGACCTCAGAACTGAGGCCACCACCGTCGACCCTGCCGCTGAGGCCACCACTGGTGCCACCACAGTCGATCTCAGAACTGAGGGCACCACCGTCGACCCTACCACTGAGGCCACCACCGTCGATCCTACCACTGAGGCCACCACCGTCGATCCTACCACTGGTGCCACCACCGTCGATCCTACCACTGGTGCCACCACCGTCGATCCTACCACTGGTGCCACCACCGTCGATCCTACCACTGGTGCCACCACAGTCGACCTCAGAACTGAGGCCACCACCGTCGACCCTACCGCTGAGGCCACCACCGTCGATCCTACCACTGGTGCCACCACCGTCGATCCTACCACTGGTGCCACCACAGTCGACCTCAGAACTGAGGCCACCACCGTCGACCCTACCGCTGAGGCCACCACCGTCGATCCTACCACTCGTGCCACCACCGTCGATCCTACCACTGGTGCCACCACAGTCGATCTCAGAACTGAGGGCACCACCGTCGACCCTACCACTGAGGCCACCACCATCGATCCTACCACTGGGGCCACCACCGTCGACCTCAGAACTGAGGCCACCACCGTCGACCCTACCACTGAGGCCACCACCGTCGACCTCCCTCCCGAGGCCACTGCCGACTTCTGTGTTGATGCCGCCATCAATAAGGTCGCTAATGCTACTGCGATGCTCCTGGACATGGCTGTTCCTCTTATGAGCTCACCCAGAGACTTCATCAACTGCGAAGTGTTTCGCAACATGTTTAGCCTCGCAACCGATATTGAACGAGGACTCAGTAACCTGAACCAACCTTTGGTCACCTCCCACACTGATACCAGTCTCAATGAGGATAATATGTTAATAAAATTTTCAAACGCCGTTATGATGCTCGTGAGGTTCATGGACAAGATCACTGTTGACGGGTGCACAGCACTCGATGTGACCCGACCAGACTTGCTCAGTCTGGCGCTGGATATCGAACAGGGAATTGACAGACTTAGAAAGTGTCTAGAATTTGTTAACGACGAGATGGAGAATGCCAACCTCTGTGATGAGGCTGCCACCGCCGATGACCTCTGTGATGAGGTCGCCACCGCCGATGACCTTAGTGCTGAGGTAGCCGATGACAGTGCTGAGGTAGCTGATGATCTAAGTCCTGAGGCCGCCACCGCCGATGACCTCTGTGATGAGGCCGATGACCTCTGTGATGAGGCCGCCACCGCCGATGACTTCAATGTCCAGGACGTTAAATTCGTAATGGAGTATGTGAGGTCATTGCTTAAGGACCTGAACGCACCAGTCAACGTGGCTCGAACCGCCCTGGTCGCTCTTGCGTCAGAAACGGAACTGTACGGAGAGGATGATATAAGCTCCAGCGACTTATTCTCAGGTCACCCTTCTTATATATCATGATTTGCGTGAAGGGTACGACCCGCTGGTCAGTAGAATCATGATTGAGACCCGGGACTTAAGTCCCGGGTCTCAATCATGATTCTACTTACACCCGAATCTCACCAGATTCAGGCTTATTTTCATTTTTTTTTTACTTACTTTCCTGATAAGATGTTTTCTGTCTGTCAGAAATTCCTCATACTTATGAACCTAGTTATATTTTCCGTTTTTTTCCCACTCGCCTCTTCCTTATTTATGTTTATTACTGTATATATTATACCTTCCCTCTCCAGCCACAAGCTTCCCAAAGTTCCTGCTAATGAGCCAAAAAAAAAAAATCCTCTCCACTAAACAGCATATTTTTTACCCATCGAGGGAGGTTTCTTGATACCATATCTCCTGATCCCATGAATTGGATATAGTGTGCGTAAAGAAGAATGTACTGTAGTTGCACCATGGATGGGAAGTAGCCTAGCAAGTCGCAAATGAATATTAAAATGGTATACAATACCAACAGGTCGGTAAGATACATGTGTAACAGTTAGTAGTCATCGTCTTCACATCTCTACTGCTTCTGCTAACACTTCTGTACTCGACTGAAGAAGCCTACTGTGTAGGTGACGTGTACTTAGCTCTGTGAAGTTCTGTCGAGTGTGTTCTCCGTGAATCTGCACAAGATGTCCTCTCTTGAGCAACTGTACCAGCAGCTGAAAGAGGAGCTTAGGGTTGCCAAGCTTGAGATACGGCGACTGACGTTGTGAGTCCTCAGGTCAAGAGAGGAACTTGGTCAGTGGCCGGCCAACATGGAACAAAGCTGAAAATCAAGAAGTCTGTTGGAGTGGCAGAAACAACGAAGATCCAGAAGACTGCTGTGGAGACTTCCAACCCATT